TTCATAGGATTTAGCCTCCAGACCCCTTATCATTTTTGTGGCTCTTCTCTGCACTCTTTCTAGAGCCTCAGCATCTTTTTTGTATTTTTGTAGTTTTTTTGACCCTCTGCAGATATCCCTGAGATGTTGGTTTTGGAGATTGTTTGCTTCTAAAGGGGATCTGGCCAATCTCCTTTCAACCTTCAGGGTTGGAGTCCCTCCACATCCAGCTGTGCTCATCCAGGGGCAGAGCCTAAGTGAGCCACAGATATGTCCAACATATGCTTTGACCCAAGGAACTTCATGACAGACCAAGAAATCTCCAATTCAAATCTTTCTTCACTGCTATTTGGAAGGGATGATGGCAACCAAATAGGGTTGCCCCAAGTGACAATAGGAGCACGTTGCAGGTCCTGGCAAATTCACTGTCACTGCTGTTTCATGAATGATTCTTCTGGTGAGGGTACACCAAGAATGGTTCCAACAGCTGTTAGAAAAGGTGATTGGCTGAGGAAGGGAAGGATATACATTTACAAACCACACCAAATACTATGTATGTCCAACCACAAGAAAAGTTGCAGGGCAATATGAGCCGTGAAGAAGGGTGCTCCTACGTCTCTCCTTTTTCCATTTTATCTTTTCCAATGGGCACTGAGCTGTAGCTTCTGAGCCCTTTGTTCAGCCCTCATTGAGGTCCATGTGAATTTGAACTTCTCAAAGTTCAAAAGAAATTCAACTTGCATTCCTCAGAGTTCATCAGAACTTTGTCACACTTCATTCTTGCTTCACTTTGGTTCTAACTGCATTGACGTTCCCCCACAGAAGTACTTTGAGAACAAATATTCATGGCTTTGTATAACACATTCCAGGTGTTCCAAACATATCGCCTGCATTAATATCTTTGGGATGATAAGATCGGCTTGTGCAATGATCTCCGTTGCAAAGAGAAAGTCACAAATAATAGGACAGAAGTTGTCAGATTGATGGATTATTTTGAAAATGTGGGGCATTTCTTCCTTCTTAGGTGGAGGAAAATGAACTACTTCTACTGTGATGCTGATAGTGAAACATCTGTCACGACAAATCCATCCAACTGTTTAGCTATGGGTGAGTTATTCTCTGGCAGGGGTGATACGCTGAGCATTGGTACCCAGGGAACAACTTTGAAGTCAGGCCAACTGTCCATCTAGATCAGTGTTTCTCAACCTCAGGAACTGTAAGATGTGTGGACTTCAACTCCTAGAATTCCCCAACCCATCCAACTGTTTAGCTATGGATGAGTTATTCTTTGGCTGGGATGATACACTGAGCATTGGTACCCAGGGAACAACTTTGAAGTCAGGCCAACTGTCCATCTAGATCAGTGTTTCTCAACCTCAGGAACTGTAAGATGTGTGGACTTCAACTCCTAGAATTCCCCAACCCATCCAACTGTTTAGCTATGGATGAGTTATTCTTTGGCTGGGATGATACACTGAGCATTGGTACCCAGGGAACAACTTTGAAGTCAGGCCAACTGTCCATCTAGATCAGTGTTTCTCAACCTCAAGAACTGTAAGATGTGTGGACTTCAACTCCTAGAATTCCCCAACCCATCCAACTGTTTAGCTATGGATGAGTTATTCTTTGGCTGGGATGATACACTGAGCATTGGTACCCAGGGAACAACTTTGAAGTCAGGCCAACTGTCCATCTAGATCAGTGTTTCTCAACCTCAGGAACTGTAAGATGCGTGGACTTCAACTCCCAGAATTCCCCAGCCAGCCATGCTTCTGGGAGTTGAAGTCCACGCATTTTGGGAGTTGAATTCTGGGAGTTGAAGTCCACGCATCTTACAGTTCCTGAGGTTGAGAAACACTGATCTAGATTCAACTGGCAGCAGATTTTCTTGTTACCTATTGCCCGATCTTTTGAACTGGAGATCCCAAGGACTGAATCTAAGAATTCTGCAGTCAAGCTATAACAGTTGGTTTCCAGACTGATAAAGATTCAGAAGACTGTTGTATAACAACCAACTGTACGCTTCTCCATTTTCAGTTAAAAGACCCACTTTCTTCCCAGATCATAGCAAGATTGTTAGAAAGAAAATCAAAGTCTGGGTCCTTGCTGTACATAGGGAGATATTGGTTTGAAATGGGAAAACCCCGAGTTGCTTCAATTCCCATCCCATTCTTCTCAAGAGCAAGAATCCCATCTCGACCCATTCTCAAGAAATCTTGCTAAGGAGATTCTCAGAATTATGCTTCAAAGAGAATCACTTTCAGTTGATTAGGCAGGTGCCCCAAAGCCTGAGAGCATCAGAATATGAGGTCGAATGAGATCAGCATCTAAATTCCTGGGAGAGCTGGTGGGATCCTAACATGCGGCTGGATCTCCAAGGCTTTCATCTTTTTTCCAATGACCCAGCTACCTGCAGTACCAGTATGAAGAGGGAAGGACATTCATGTGGGCTTTCTTCTCCTCAGTGATGGTGCTTCTGACTGTTAGGTTCTCAGAGCCATTTTGGAAATAAAGAAGGAAGCCACCAGACTTGCTTTTGATGAACCTGCTTCTGATTGGTGGCTCATTGGGAATAAAGAAGAAATGAAAACACCCACCTCTTCTCCAGATCACAGGAAGGCACTTAGAAAGAAAACTAAATCATCTCCTCAGTAATATATTAGGGAACCAATGGGTTCTCAATCGGAAATAGCTGCTGGAATTCTTGTAACCCCATCCCCCTCATCTCAATAAATCTTGCTAAAGAAAACCCTGAGCTTCGTACTTGGAAAGAACCATTTTTAGTTTGAGGTAGTTGCCAAAGGATCTGCCACAAAGCTAAGATTTCTACCCAAGAGCAAGGATCTTATTTAAATTAAGCAACAATGGTAATTCATCAGTCTGTTCCACCCAAGTGCAGAAGACCATCTACAGGGCTTATTCCTCTCCTTTTCCTTGTCCCACCTTTCATTGCGTTCTTGATTAGGGTAGTGTTTCTTCCCTGACTCTTCATCTGGTGTGGTGTCCTGTTTATCTGGACATGGTTGCTAAAGAGGATGTGCTCTGGGCTGTCCTTTGACTTTTGGTTGTGTCTTTTAAATGATACCAACCACAGGTAAGCAGGAAATGGCACCAGATAAACAGCCAGGGAAGAAACCCTACCCTTATCAAGGAATTATCAAAGAAGAAACCCCACCCCAACCAAGACTGGCAGGGCAACCTACTACATATAAACAGCCAGCAAAATTCCAATTCTGAGGTTCCTTGAGATGGATTCCCTGGACAGCCACTCAACCATTATATCTAAGGTGAGTCGTTAAAGGTAGTGGTTGTGAGTGAAACCATTTATAGTTGAAGACTGTCTGCCTACCTAAATATGTTTCTCTAGCTCTGCGTTGAGATCTTGGTTATCTTGGTCTGAATTTAACCTCACTGCTTTTTATCCTTGTGTTTTTTCAGATCTTAACAAGCTGCCATCTGTGGCCTAAACAAAAGACACACCATCCATTTAGTGTAGAGAGACGACTAACTTTGCGATAGAAGATCCTTTCCCACCTCCAGGAAACCAAACAGGAGCATGTTCTTGGTGCACCTGCTGAAGAAACTTGTTGCTGCTTCCATTTGTATGGTTATTTTGAGCAGAAGATCAAAGAATCTCAATTTTTATCCTTTCTTCTCTAATTGTGGGACCTCTTTTCTTTTCAGTGTTAGAGGAAGAAAACCCAAGTGGATTTTATCCAGGAGGTTCATACACCAGTACAACTGAGATCCACTTGAGAAAAGTCCTTTCAGTTTCCACCTATTAATCGTTTTTTTTTTCTTTTTTGGCAGTAAGACATTTTGGAAACACACACCAATAGGAGGGCTCTTCCCTTTAGAATCCATTTGGGAAAAAAAGCTGGGATGCAACCAGGAGGACATTGAGGGAAAGTGGCTAAGTTTGACCAACTAGCTCTGAAAGGAGCTAGAGATGGAGAATAATGCAAAAGAGGACATGTGATGATCTGGTTGAATGTGATCGGCAAACGATCCTGTTCCTTGTTTTGGATTATCTTATGCAACCTCAGATTTTTTTTTAAAACAAGCTGCATTTAACAATGAGTTTGCAGGGTTGAAGATTTTTGAAATATGTGTTTAAACATGGGAACATTTCTCTGTACGAAATAAAACAGATATGTAAGTATTGCAAGATCTGAAGTGCCTAACTGGGCTATGGGGGGCTGTCCAGAGCTATCTGGAAGTTTAAGACTCTAACTGGTGCATTGAAATTAAGAATGTTCGGGTCAGAAAAC